AACTTTGGACGACTTTTTCAATTTTTCACTTATTTGTCCATGCCTTTTATAATTAAGGATGGCTTTTACTCATACTCATTTGCCATTATTCACAAAGAAGATATAACACAAGCTTGCATCAAGGGAACCACATATCCCAACTTTTTCACCACAAACTCAAACAAGAATGATCAATTGCTTCACAAAAAACAAGAAAAGAAAGAAAACAAAACAAAAGGCCAAAGATCTAAAGATGTGGCTTGAAAAGAAGGTAATAGGCTCAAATGGTTGCAAGAAGGCAAATGTAAACCCAAAAACAAAGATGAAACAAACTATCCTAAAAATGATAAATACCACACCGAAAAGATGCCTTTGTCCTCCCTTGATAGCTTGGTCTCGGGTCGAAGAATCATAAATCAAGCTTAATAGATTAGGTCCTCAATAGTCAAGGATCCACGCCGCTCATACAAAATAGGTTGAAGGCTTGAAAAACAATGAACCTCACATGGATGTAGCAAAAACTCACTGGTGGTGTCAAATCGACTATAGGGAGCAACTACCAAACATGCCACAAACAAGTAGAATCCGGCTTCATGATCCTCCTAGTTCAAACCAACTACCCTAGCATACACCTATCCTAGAGTCAACCAAGCATAGTCTCAAACCGTGCATACCTTTACTACCTAGGAAGAAATTCATTCAAAAGACAAAATCCAATGTACAAAGACCAATTTATAAGGAAAAAAAAGGGGTGAAAAACAAGCCTCAAAAGCATACCACATACCAACACAAGAACAATGTAAAAATAAGGGAAAAGAAAAATAAAAGGAAAAGAAAAGAAAAGGAAAGCCATAGATAAAGGAAGAATAGGAAAAATTGAGAAAGGAACTAGAAAGCAAGTTAAACACATATATCCCAATCGACATACAAGTGATCGAATGACAACATCGTCAACGATCACAAACACATTACGTGTTAACAAGCAATCATCCTCGAACTGTTCAACTTCCCCTAAACTAAACCTAATCTATGCATCCAAAGAAAATAAAGAGAAAAATTAGAAAGGTCTCATCGGGCTATCCATGCTTAGGATAATAAACAAAGGCGATAGAAAGAACCACCTTCGTTGCGCTCCAAAATCGTAAGCATCATAAAAAAGCCATGTGAGAACAAGAAATGCAAAAGAAGCTATAGACAAATAAAAAGGTTAGTAACTTCAAAACAAAAGAAAAAGATACTACAAAGTAAAACTAAACGAAGCTAACAAAAACACTAAACAACTAAGCAAAACTAAGGTAACAAAGACCAAAAAGGAAAGTAAAGAAAGACTAAGTAAACAACTAAACAACTAACTAACTAAAAGACACTAGACTACAAGATTTGGATTCAAAGGGATTTGGATTCATGGGTTTTGGATATAAGGGAGCAAGAATCAATCAACATCATCACAAGGAAAACATCACAACAACAATGGAAAAACAAGCTCATGGGACTAGCAACAAGCATCATCAAGACTAGAGACCAAGATATGAAAACCATCATGCAAGAGGCAAATAAAATACAAGGTAAGCAACAACAACAAATATTGGCAACCGAGATACAAATGAAGTTCCCCCAAGCTAAACATGAATACATATCAACATCCCAACAATACAAATCAAGCACATAAAACATAAGGGATGGAGGTAAAAGGCATAAAAGTGAGGGAACTAAGACTCATCATTACCACCACCACTTGGCCCGGCCTCATTGGAATCATTGTTGCCCATGTAGTCATCGAAGGTTGGGGGTGAGTAAGGAGCCTAACCTCCGGTGAATCCCTCGGGCCAACCATAATGCCCCTTGAAGTTATCTTGCTGCCAAGGGGCAAGAGGTGTGAATTTCTCGGGCAAGGTAAGCTCAAATGGATGGTTAGGGTGCACATAGGGGTAATTAGGGTCACCCCTATAGTCACACCCTCCGGGAGCACGGTAATCATAGTTTCTATGCTCGTCCGGGTAAGAACGGGGCTCGGTACCGGGCTCTAAAGGCCCTTGCCAATAAGGATGCCCATTCAAAGGTATAGGACCTTGCTGGGGCGGGAAGTAAGGATAGTTAACCGGGGGAGTGATTTTCCCTCGATTAACCTCCGCATCATAGAGTTGTTGTTGTTGAATGAACACACCTTGTTGCATTTCAAAAATACCTCGCATTTGGGAGTATAGGGCCTCAAAATCTTGGTCATACATGCCCTCCAAGCGAATTTGCAACCCACTCATTTGGTTTCTTAGGGCCTCCAAGTCGGAGCTAGCAAATTGAGGTTGTTGCACTTGCCCTTGTTGTTGCTGTTGTTGTTGTTGTTGTTGATGTTGTTGTTGATTTTGTTGATGTTGTGGCTCTTCTTCCTCTTCTTCTTCTTCCTCATCAGAGTCAAAGAGGGGCGACAGAAGCTCTTGGGGAACATTCCACACATTAGGGATGTCCATCCGGCGGAGAGATGTCAAAGATGGGTTGGGAAGGTAGCACCAATGCTTGTTATCCCGAAGCCACTCAAAATGCCCCTCCTCATAATGCTTGGAGATGAATTGAATTTGCCCCAATTGTTTCATATCAAGGTATAGGGAGGCGGCATCTCCAACCGGCTTGCAATATGGAAAATGATGATCGAGGTGGAGGTTGGTCAAGAGCCTAGTGACCATTCCCCCACAAGGAATCTCCCCGGTGTCACGGTCTTGTAAAGCTACACAGTAAGTGGCAAAGATGTACCCCGAGTTCAACCGGCCACGATATTCTCCTCTAGTGGCCAACCATAAAGTTTTGAGCTCCAATTTGCTCATCTTTCCCAACTCTTGCTTGGGGAAAATCGAGTACCCCACAAGACGGTGAACAAGCCGAAGACAAGGTTGGTACACAAAGCTAATCTTGGCCTGTTTGGTGACAAACTCATCACCTCCAGAGATATCATCCCACCTAGAATCCTGATCATACTCCTAAAAAATATAAGGCTCTCGATCCAAGATATCACCATGAGGATCAAAATCTAGAGCGACATTGAATTGCTCTAAGGAATAGTCGAAGAAGTTGTTGAAAATCTGGAAACGAACCCTATATTGACCTTCTACGGGAACTATCTCAACCGTAGCAAAGAACTCGAGAGTGGGCGCAACATAGGTGCGGAAGCTATAGGACATGAATGTGCCCATCCAAAGGTTGATCAACAACTCCCTTACATCCTCATCAATCCCCAACGCGGACATGTCGGGTTAGAAGTAGTGCCTTGTGGGCTTGAGGGAGCGGTTTTCCTTTATTTGATGGTATCGGTTCTTTTGTTTTAGATCGTGGATTTTTCTTTTGGGTGGTGGAGTAGGTTTGCGTGTTTGGGAGGTGGATGTGCTTGGGGTAGGTTCACCAATGGAGGTGTTTGTTTTGCATTTCTTGACAAGGTTTTTGAGGACTTTTGACATGATAAACTCCAAGTGTAAGATCACAAAAACCAATCACAAAATTTCCAACAATAATTCGCAAAATTCACCAACCAAGAACTTCAATTTCCACCAATCACAATTCCAGTCCAAATTACCAAACAACACTAAACAACCAACAATTTCTTCCCACACAATCAAAATCACAAGAAGAACCAATCAATACCACAATAGCACCTTACTACCCAAACTAACAAAATTCAAATTCCAAATTTCTCAACAAAATTGCTCACAAATGCTACAAAATCAACAAACAATACAATTTGAGTTGAAATCAAACAACAAAAAATCAATTAATCATCCAAAAACCAATAACAATCATCAAAATCATCAAAAATGATACTACTACTATTCATGCTCATGAACAAATCAAAACATGCAAAAATATGACATAATTAAGCAATTAAAAGCTAGAGAAGATGATTATACCATATATGAAGCAAGATTGAACCACTTTTAGCCACCAATTCCCACCAAATTAAAAAGCCCCAAATTATACCCAAGTATGGAGGAGAGATATTGGAGGCTTAATTTGGTGAAAGTGGTATGAATTTGATGATTTTGATGAAAATGTAGAGATTATTAGTGAATTTGAAGTGAAAAATTGAGTGATTTGTGTTGAAATATGATGGGAATGAGAGGGAAGTGGTGCGGTTTCAAGGGTTTGAGGTTGATGGGGGTCGAATGTAGAAGGAGGAAATAAGGGGAAATGAAAGAAGGAAGGAAGGAAGAGAAGATAAGGGGGGCACGGGCTGGCTGGCGCGCTCGCACCAGCTAGGTGCGCGGCCGCACCAACCACGTGCGCGCCCGCACCTGAGCCTAGCCCGATTCTTCTTCTTTTTTTTTTTTGGTGCGTTCATCGGTGGGTTTATCGATCAAGATCAACAATTAGGCTCTTGAACCCACTGAAAGTGGCAGATTCAAATCAAGATTTTAGTGGTTCAAAATCCCAAAATAATGATAGCACCACATGAACCCACCAAGTGCAAAATACCTTCAACTTTAAAGCACAAAATTCCCTATCTTACCTCACAAAATTCTTACCCTTTTACCTCAAATTCCGATGATATCGAATATAATCACATCAAAAATCGCAAACACCTTCTCATTCCTCATGCTCACTTGATGAAATCCAATCCCAAAAATGCAACCTACAAATCCAAACAAGTAGAAAAGTGAAAGAAAAGAAACTAACAGAAGGAAAAATAGGAAAAATTCAAAAATCAAAAAGAAAAGTTAGAAAACTCCGGGTTTCCTCCCGAGAAGCGCTTGCTTATGGTCCTAAGCTCAACCCTTCCTCCAAATCATGGAGGGTCAAAGAACACCACCTTCTTCAAGGTAGCGGAAAGAGCAAATTCCTCTTTAACTTCTAGCAACCTCTTGTTATGAAACTTCCTTCAAAGACTTTTCAATTGCAAATTTTTCTTTCCGTAAATTCTTTCTCTCTCTCTTCTTCTTACAATCACGAGCTTTTTTCTTTGGCTTGTTGTTCATTGTAGATGGTTCCTCACCATCCATACTCATGGAAACATCCCATTCATCTTGAGGATAGAGCTCAAACTAATGAGGAATTTCAACTTCCCCCTCGTCCATAAGCTTGGGAATCATCATTTTCTCTTCACTAACCTTCTTGCCATCAAAACTTGAAAAAGCATCATCACAATTCTCAAGAACATCGTTAGTTGAAGAACCAATCATGCACACATTATCAATAGAGCGAGGGGAATTAGCACACATAATTCCTTGCACAAGAGACAAAGACTCATGCGTTGGTTTCAACTCAAAACTTTCCTCTTTATTACCAACTCTCAAGGTAATACGACCTCCTTTCACATCTATTAAGGCTCTCGAAGTGGCTAAGAAAGGTCTTCCTAAAATGATAGGGATATGGTCATCTTCCGCAATCTCAAGCACAATGAAATCAACGGGAATAGTGAACCCTCCTATCTTAAGAGGAACATCCTCAACTCTCCCCTTTGGAATCATAATAGTTCGATCGGCCAATTGAAGGGTTATGTTAGATAGGAGGAGTTCACCTAGCTTGAGTTTCTTGAAAATGGAATAAGGCATGACGCTCACACTAGCTCTAAGATCACAAAAAGCATTATCAAACATTTTCCCTTTGATCTCACATGGAATAGAGAAATTACCCGGATCCTCCATCTTCTTGGGCAACTCATTATGAATGAAAGCACTACAACAATTCCCAACTTCAACCGAATCAGCCTCATTACACTTTCTCTTCCCGCTCAAAATCTCTTTAAGGAATTTAGAGTACCTAGGCATTTGGGTAATTGCATCGGTGAAGGGGATAGAAAGGTGAACTTCCTTGAGCATAGCAAGAAACTTTCCAAATTGCTCATCCATTTTGTGCCTCGAGAATTTTTGTGGGTATGGAAGGTCAGGTCTGCACACTTCCTCACGCTCTTTCTCACTACTCCTCTTTTTCTCTTGCACATCCTCATAACTCACACTCTTAGACACAACCTTCTCAACTTCCTCTCTTGGGTCACTCCTCTCCTCATCCTCCTCAATGGACCTTGAAACTCCCTCATTAAGAACTCTCCCACTCCTAGGGGTGATAGAATACACGGGTTTCTTAGGTTCCACTCCTTGAGAAGGAAAAGAGGATGGACTAGCATAATCCTTTAGAGTGTTGGCTAGTTGGGTTATTTGTGTCTCAAGCATTTTGTTATGAGTCATCATCTCATTAAATTTCTTGTCACTCACCGCCACATAGGTGTTTATGATCTTGGTTTGGTTATCAATCATTTCTTCCAAATTTGTCCTAAATGATGATGGTTAGGAATAAGAATTTTCATCACTGGATTGAGGCTTTGGAGCAAAACCGGGTGGGGGTCCCCTTTGGTTGTTATTTTGAAAACTTCCCCGAATTTGGTTTTTGTTCCAATTGCCTCGGCCTTGACTATTGCCACCATTATGGTAATGGTTACCAAAGCCTTGAGATTGACTTTGGTTTCCCTACCCATGGCTTGGGTTTTGATTACTATAACCTTGGTTGTTATAGTTACCTCGAAAACCTTGGTTTCCTTGGTTCCTATAGCCTCCATTGTTGTAGTTATCGAAACCACCTTGGGGGTGAGAATTCCTATTGCCAAAATTCTTAGGTCCATCAAACCTTTGACCACCATTGGCATTAGACACAAAGTTCACATTTTCACATTCATTATTTTCAACATTATCACATCCATCAACAAAAGTTTGAGAACACATGGAAGAATCATGATCATAAGATCCACAAGAATCACAAAATAGATAACCACTTTGCATGTTATTGGAAGTATAAGGAGAAGAGTTAAAAAGTGTACCTCTCCCTTTGGATTGGGAGGGAAGACTCAATGAATTCGTAGAAACACTCTCAAGCTTGGCTTTGATCGATGTCATTTCCTTCCCTAGATTTGAAATTTGGGAGGACAAGTTGTTAATCGCGTTGAGATGATCCACCGAATAAACCGTTGAGCCACTCTTGCTCGTAGACTCCCTCTCTCCTTTTTGCCAATCTCTATAGTATCTCACCACATCCTCAATTATGTAAACTACCTCTTCTTCCGTCCTATTCATTATAGGACCTCCGGCTCCTCCATCTAGGCATGACTTGCCTTGGGCACTCAAGCCTCCATAGAAAATTTGTATCACTTGATAGGTAGGAATTCCATGATGTGGGCACTCTCTTTGGTACTCCTTGTACCTCTCCCATGCTTCATAAAGATTATCATTAGGCCTTTGTTTGAATCCTTGGATCAAGGCTCTAGCGTCCGCCGTCTTCTTTTGTGGGTAAAAGAGAGACAAGAAAGCCTTTGTGACTTCATCCCACGTCCTAAGGGAATTGGGCTTAACCTCCTTATCCAACCACTCTAAGGCACGACCAATAAGAGAAAAGGGAAACAACTTTAGCCGAATAGACTCTTGATAAATGCCGTTCACCTTGATAATATTACAATACTTCTCAAATTCCTTTAGGTGATTTAACGGGCTCTCACTCTTGGATCCATTAAATTGCCTCCGCTCTATCAAAGTAATCATGGCCGGTCTTATTTTAAAATCGTTCGCCGGTGTTGTAGGTGGAGCAATGCCGCTCTCAAACCTATAAGCACCGGGAATTCCCAACTCCTTCAAAGCTACTCTTGGATTCTCTCCCATGCCTTGCTCTTCTTCTTCCTTAAACTCTTCTTCACTTGAGGAACTTAGGCTCAAAGATCGGTTGGCTATCCTTCTTCAATTCGTGAAAGAGTTCTTTCAATTTCTGGATCCAAAGGAACTAAGGACCTATCACGAGTTCTACTATGCATGCAAAAACTCGAAAGAAATTGTTAGTAACGCGGCTACAAGTGTAGCCTAAAAGAAAGAAGAAAAATCTTTTTGTGTTTTTGAAAAAGATGGAATAGACTCAACAACAATACACAATCACAACACCACTCCCCGGCAACGACGCCATTTTGACAAGGGTCAGAATTAGGTCGTTGAAACTAACCCCTACCCTAGGCCAAAAAAATTTTAATCTCTCAACACACCCTTACACAAGTATAATGGTAAGTTGAGGGTCGAACCACTAAGGAATGGTGGGCGATTATCTATTGCCTAAGTCAAGCTACTCCGAAATGGTAGGGTGTAGGTATGTAAACTAGGACAAGGATGACTAAACAACGAATTGAAATCAAGTATGTAAAATGCTAGGGATATGATCCACATGTAATCGTAATGGATTCAACTAATTGGGAGGTCAAAGTGACTAAGTCAAGGAATGTGAGGGAAGACCAATCATGTAACCAAAAGAGCGTATCAAGCTATTTTCCTAGAGGTCTAACTAGCGTCAACTATGATAAACCCTATCTAGAAACGTCACAACGCACCTCTATCATTAAATGCAAGCCACAAATCAATGGTCCGTATCAATGTGAACTTACAATGCAATCTAGTGCAATAATCAAAGTTAGCTACTCTTTAATTAATCACACACATGCACATGATCATTAACCAATTTAATCACATCATCAACTCCATCAATTTTCCCCAATTAGCATTAATCCATTACTCATACATGCTTCACCATTACCCTAGAAAGCAATCTACTCACTAGCCATTAAAATTAAGATAATAACAACACTAAGCAACAAATTCATCATGATCAAATCAAACAAGCTAAAATCAAACACAAATCAATCAAACTTCAATCAAACTAGAACAATCGACAAAAAAAAAAAAGAAATCAAACTAAAGATCAAACTATAGATTGAATCAAAGAAAAGGAATCCTTACAAACTTGATAAAAAATCAAAGGAAATGAAGAAATCTTCAGTCATCAACAATCCACCATGAATTTATCTCTCTAAAAACCTAGAGTTTCTCTCTCTAAAATCTCTCTAATTATGATCTATTTATTATCTAATTGAATTCTCTAATCCCTTCTCCCTCTAAAAATAGAAGGAACGACTATATAAAGGAAAGATACAAAAAAAGAGTTACTTAGATCGTCGCAAAAGAAACCCCCGGAAAGTGCGGTCGCATCAAGGGGGAGGCGCGACCGTGAGAAAATGGGTACGGAACAGGGACCCGACAGGCGCGCCAGCACCTGCACTAGGCGCGCCTGCGCCACCCAGGTGCGCGGTTGCACCACCCTCGTGCGCGCCCGCACCTAGCAGCAGAAGAGCTCCCTCTTCTTCGTCCTAGCTTATCCTCGTGCGCTCGTCTTGGTGATGATGATGAACACTAAGGTAGGCAGTCTTGAAATGACTATTTTGGTGGGTTTATGCCAAAGATGATGCCTCCACCACATGCATGCACCGATCTCATGAACTTGTTCCTTGCATTCCTTCAAACTTGAGCTCTAAATGACAAGCAAGAGGCATTCAAAATGATGGGAAATATGAGAGGAAGGCTCGGGAATCCTCGGAACACGATCATAACCTGAAAATACATGAAAACAAGCAAATAGAAGAGAAAAAGACCAAATAAACAAAGAAATGCACAAAGAAAGAAAAATAACTAAGGAAAGTCCAAACTAAAGAAATAAAGAACAAAACTAAGGAAAACTAAAGAAAAGAGCTATAAATTAGCATGAAATCATCCTAAAAGAAGCCAAATGAGTGCCATAAATGACACTCATCAGCTCCCGATCTATTTCATTAGCCATGTGTTAAAAAATGTTGAACTCCGATACCTCATGGTTGAAAATTTTGGCCTTGCTCTATATATGACCTTCAAGAAATTAAAGCCGTACTTTCTGGCTCATCCGGTGGTAATTTACACTAATTAGCCCCTCAAGCGGCCAATGACTACCTTGGAGTCATTCGAAAGAATGTTTAAATGGGCTTTTGAAATGCAAAGTCTTGAAATCACTTTTGAACCCAAAAAGGCAATGAAAAGTCAGGTGTTTGCTGACTTCATTGTTGAAATGACACGACCGGAATCACCGTATAACATCGATCAGGTTTGGAAAGTGTATGTAGACGAGCTCGACGAAGAACGGCTGCGGTGCAGAAATTATATATTAGTCCCCTGAGAGGGACAAATTTGAATGTGCACTGCGGTTTAAGTTCCAAGCCTCAAATAACGAGGTAGAATACGGAGCCCTGCTAGCCAGAATCCGCATGTGTAGGGCAGCAGGGGCAACAAAAATTGATGCCTACTCTGATTCACAGTTGGTCGTAAGCTAGTATAAGGGAAAATATGAGGCAACTCTTCCGGCTATGATCAATTATCTTCACGCAGTCAAAGAAGAGGCCGGGGCACTTGAGGAGTTCCGTCTGAGATAAGTGCCTAGGTCAGATAACAATCAGGCGGATGCATTGTCCAAATTGGCATTTTTCGCCTGCTGTGAAGAGCCCATTGGAGTCCTGGACTGAAGCTCTACTTGGATGGATGGCATCCGGGCATATTTAACAGACGGCACACTTCCTGATTCACCACAGGAGGCGGACGTCATGAAGAAGCGAGCAACAAACTTTGAGATGAGAAATGGAGAACTCTTCAAGGCGAGTTTTCTTAAACCTCTATTGAAGTGTGTTACCCTAGAAAAGGGAAAAGAAGTTCTTGAAGAATTGCTTGCTGGATACTGTGCCTCTCATATAGGCGGCAGGTCCCTAGCCGTCAGAGCCAGGCGGCATTACTTTTGGCCCACTCTTGAAGCAGACGCTAAAGAGTTGGTGAAGAGGCGTGACAAATGTCAGAGGTTTGGCAAGCTTATTCACCGCCCGGCTACTGATCTGACGGCAATCCACAGCCCAGTCCCGTTTACTAAGTGGGGAATGGATATCTTGGGTCCTTATACGCCTGCTCCAGGCGAAAAGCGTAATATTTTGGTGGCTGTGGATTATTTTACCAAATGGGTAGAGGCTGAGCCGGTCAAGAACATCAAGATAAAGGATGTCATCTTTTTCATTTGGAAGAACATCATCACACAGTTTGGGGTACCTATGTCTATGGTGTTTGATGATGGCCCTCAGTTTGAAACGCCTCACCTTAAGACTTGGTTGGGAGATCAGTGTATCTCACATTGTTTTGCATCAGTCGGCTGACCCCAAGCAAACGGCCAAGTTGAAGCCTTCAACAAGCTTATCTCAGACGGCATAAAAAAGAAAATTGAAAGAGCCGATGGCTTATGGGAAGAAGAGCTGATTCATGTCCTATGGGCCATCCGGAAAACTGCCAAAGGGGCAACCGGTGAAACCCCATTTCTTATGGTATATAGTGCTGAAACCGTTTTGCCCATTGAACATTACGAGCTGACTCTCAAAGTCATGCTTTATGATGAA